GATTCAGACTCAAAGTTACCCATACCTAGGTACGTCCTCATCAAAGCAGACAGAGTAATTAACCGGAATGGTGGTGGGCTTGCCTCTACAAGTGCAAGTTGTGTCGTTATTTCGATCACGGGTGTTGTGTCGACTAGTTTTTTTAAGAAGTCCTGACAGCCAAGTTGATGACTGCGTACTAAATCACTACAAGGAGTGAAGTAGTAGAAATAGGATTAGCACAGGCTCCATGTGTCTACTAAACTTATTATTTTAATCTGAATCTGACGGAAAAGTCAGTTTTTTAACTTTCCTGGATATGAAATGGTTACTTCATGTAAGTTTAGTTCCCTAGGGGCATCATCGATTCACAATGAGCATCATTTACGATGTTTTAGTGAAGAGTGCTAATTAGATGTGAATAATTCGTTCGTCCACGTCGTGGTAAAGACTATCACAAGAGAATGGAGAGTTGAAATCACCCATACAGCAATAAGTAACTAAAAATTATGACTACTTGTCTACGGGAGTAGTACGCATCACAGGCTTCGAAGGTGGTGTAATATATACAAGTGCTTGATAGAGTAAGACCAGACAGTTACACAAGTACCGTGTACAGGATCACTATTAGACAATAGGGCTAATATGCACTTTTCAAGTCAAGCGAATTCATAATCAGTGCTTAAGTCACACCGACAAAAATAAAAACAGACTTTCCACGGAAATCAATTAAACCCAGATATATTCATGAAGGCATGTGTCAGCCACGTCTCGTAAACCGTTAATGCCCAGCTCTTGCTACGCTGGGACCCACGCTGTCGCTTGAAGTTTCTCAGAAACGCTTAGTAATAACGGACGAAAAAACCAAAACACCAATTGTTGACTCGAGGACTCTTTATTGTTACACCAACATATAAATGACGTATGACTAAGGTCTGTGAACAAATATTACAATAATAAATCACAATATTACTTCTGACGGTTTACTGCTGACTTCTTTCTGAACAGCGACCGATGAGACGATGACTGTCGTATTGATGCCTCCGCGAAAATTGGGGAAGTTGGTTTTGAGCAAACAACCATGAATTGATCGTTCAATCTTCAACTACATTGACAGCATGAGTAGCACGCAGTGCACCAAAATGTAAGAACTATTCCGGTTGAAGCGTGATGTAAACCTGCATGATTACGGGCCTTAACATATAAGTTTTAATGGTGGTTCTACCAAACGAATGAGTCGATAAATGCAACTGAAGCGATCACACTATTAATCGACTTACGCTGAATTATACCACCAAATACTTTATATTGCCTTGTCAATAAATTAGACCTTCATCTCATCCCAATGACAGCTTCACTTTCACTCTGAGAAAATATGGAAGATGCAGGATTCAAATTATACATGGTGAAAAATGTTTACAAGTAAATATTTGTACATAATTATTTGTTTGAATCTGTGGCATCCCTATTGATGTTGTAGTAAGCTTAGTGTTGTGCTCATTTCCATCAAGTGCTCCTCACAGATAGTAGCAAGACTTACCTCATATATTTAGGCTATTTAATCCGAAACTCACTGAGTCTCTTCTGAGACGCTTTTCAAAAACAAATAGTTAGAAACTGTGAGTCACCATTGCTTCCTTCATTCCTCCATAACCCTAGATAATTCCTGAAGGAACCAAGTTCACCTAGGAGATTGGTTACAGGATTTCATCACGAGCTGATATCAGTTAGAGAACCAATGGAAAACCTGGGAGTACTGGACAGCTGTTTCACCCGTCCTAGTTTGGGACTCTTCATCAGTATGCACCCTCCGCCAGTGTTTGAACCCAGGACCTTCTGGTTACAAGGCGAGTTAGCTCGTAGGCCATTGGGCCATTGGGACCCGATCCAATGGTCCATGAATGGTATACAAGCTCGCTTTGTAACCAGAAGGTCCTGAGTTCAAACACTGGCGGTGGGTGCGTACTGATGAAGAGTCCCAAACTAGGACGGGTGAAACAGCTGTCCAGTACTCCCAGGTTTTCCATTGGTTCTCTAACTGATATCAGCTCGTGATGAAATCCCGTAACCAATCAACCAAATGCCTACAAACCAATACTTGAATTCGCCTTACTGAATTGGAAATCAACAGTGACTAAGACTGATATTACTCTGTCAACAGGAGTACTAGTATCAGTATGCACCTACCAGCCACGCTTAGACAAGAAGAAGATTCTAATCGTCAGTAGTGCTATATTTGGATAGGACCATACGTGGTGTTGTTATTCTCCCCCTAGTAGCTGCCATCGGGATCACCTGGCACCACTTGATGAGGTGCGCAATTAAGGTCTTCAGACATTTCACGTGACAGTGTAAGTTCCTCTTCCATCACATCTTCATCTAAACATTTTGCCAGTTGTGAACCTGATCAAAATGGACAAAATTACCACAATTTCAGCCGCATGTCTCACCAATAGTATGATTTCTTCAATGTGTGATGAATGACGAAAATAATGAAACACACATCATAATCTCACAACAGTTACCTAACCTACGCCTGTGGTGCCACTCTTCATCAAGAGGCTAAATCTCACAGAATAAATAGCACAAACGATTATTACTTTAACCCTTCGAAATTCTGAAACTTTAAAAGTTCAAAGAAAACACTAAATTTGTGGACACTGTTCCTGATGTGTTTTACTTATAAAAAGTCATAATATGGGCATAGATGTAACAGACGAATGCACAGCCCGCTAATCTTGTAACTCTGTGTGTGAGCGCAATATATCGCTTGAAATTAAGTCACGCGTAGATAAAGGCTATCCCGGTCCAGAACAAACAAGAAGCCGGTCACTGTTTCTACGGTACTATTAATAAACAAATCAATAATTATATATACAACAAACCTTAACGGTTTCAAGAGTACAAAGCACAACGCTTAACAGAAAGCAAGGTACCGCTATCAGAGCGGAATACCGTTAAAGCCAAAATTGCGAACTAGCCGGAACCAGACACGACCGTTCAGGTAAGCAGTCAGTAGAAGAATGAACCCAAGTAAGGTATGGCATAAAACAGAGAGCATTTAAGAGAGATAGACCGAGCATAGGCACAAAGATAGAATTTAATTGGCTACCTAACTAGGTAGGAAAATACAGATGAAAATCAATAAATAAGATAAACTCGACAGAATAGTACAAAGTTAGACGTGGGTCTTTTTTTTTTTTTTTTTTTTTTTTTTTTTTTTTTTTTTTTTTTTTTTTTTTTTTTTTTTTTTTTTTTTTTTTTTTTTTTTTTTTTTTTTTTTTTTTTTTTTTTTTTTTTTTTTTTTTTTTTTTTTTTTTTTTTTAGCAAAAATAACAGTTCACAAAATACTCTGATTGGGCCATGAGTTCAACTGTCTGACTGAACGGATCGAGGTAAAAACACATACACACAGTTCATTAAACAAGCAGGGATAGACACGTTAGGCATGGATATTTGGGTTGCAACAACGCTAGGCTGATCCGGGACAGGTTGACTTGATTCGAGGATGGGAATAGAATTGATCTTACACTGTGAATATAGCAACTGTGGTTCACACCAGTCATGAAAACTAGGTAAAACTAATTTTATTGAACATAATACTTGAACACTTGTGCGGCTCATTTAGTCACGTGGAAATAAGTGAGCATGGAGCAGGAGATGTATATCTGTTTCTTCGAAGGCTTAGCAAGTGCGTTCAAAGAAAAATTTGGGTGTATGATTCTGTGAAGTCTGTTGCCTCGTGAATAATACCCAATGTTTGAAATAGGTCCACAAAGCTAAGCACCTGGAGGAAAATTGAAAGAAGTCTTTATTTAGGAAGCTAGTTTTAGTACCGCGAGTGTGGGACTAATCTAATCTTATCTTTTGTCTTCATAACACCACAAAAGATTGTAATGACACCCAATACTATCGAATTCGTTGATTAGTACTTCTCGCGGGCTGCAGTTAGCATACATTTGGTGACATTTTTATGTACTGAATAGATGGACTGCATATTTGTTAATCCTAATGTAGCAACCTGGGTACTTTTGGTTTTCAGTGACCATGATAATAGAAAATAACCTTTATTTAAGACTCAGGAACTAATTCGTTTACCCCAAATATGTTTTACCAATAAAATACGAACTTATGAATAATCGTATTCCAGGAAAGTCACATGTAAATAACATGAAAAGGTGGCAGTTCAAAAGTTCACCTCATGTACTGGTTTCCTCGGGGTATTCACCACTGGCTGAATTCTTTTAATACGCAAAATCAGATCTGTTTAACTGGGCATCTGGTAAGAAGTAATTACCACTGTTTTTGGAGAAAATTCAATAGTTTAAGTTCTGCTTAAACGACACTGTTTAGTCACCATAGCTTTCGGCTTGAATTTTCCAAAACAGCGTTTATATGCTAAACAAGGAACTGAACCATAATGAAGCCCTGAGAAACTGGTTACACACAGAACACCGCTAACTTTTATAGATGTTTTATGGGCTCCTATGGGGTCATTTAAGGTGTCGATAGAAAAGAAACAATTGCAGCATGTAAGAAGTACTCCAAAGAAAAAAAGCCATCTTATTTCCTAAGTAACTCGTTTTTATGAAAATGTAGGTGCCAAGACGCTTTTTAGTGATCAGTTGTCTAAGGAAATATAGCAATATCATTGTTATGATGAGCGGAAATACTTAGTGATTCTAGTCTCAGTTCTTATAGGATATCATTCCGAATAGTTCAAGAATGTCCTGAATGTCCTGAATATGCTATCTAGGTCAGTTGGTAGATCAAGGAGTCATGGTTAGCGTAGGAATTCTTCATTTCCATTATGTCTTCAATCGCCATGATTGGTGACTACCGTCTAACATATAAGATGGCCACGCTACTCACAACATATTCGCAGAAGTTGTGCGCGAGATGCTTGCCAGGAATATTCAGGTCTTATAAGAAAACATACCTCTAAATAAAGGTGTCCAGTTTTCAAGGTTTTGTTTATACAGGTTTCGACTGAGGCGCGTTGCTTGTACCGTCCGCGAAAGATGCGGGAATATAAGCTTGTCGTACTTGGTAGTGGCGGCGTAGGCAAAAGTGCCCTCACTGTCCAGTTTGTACAAGGAATTTTTGCAGAAAAATATGACCCGACGATTGAGGATAGTTATAGGAAGCAGGTCGAAATTGATTCTCAACAGTGCATGCTCGAGATTTTAGATACAGCTGGCACTGTAAGAGTCAATTTCGATACTCATATGTACCTTTTGTTTACAGGAACAATTTACTGCTATGAGAGATTTATACATGAAGAATGGTCAGGGTTTCTTGCTAGTCTATTCTATCACGTCGCAAGCAACGTTCAACGATCTAGTTGATCTTCGCGAGCAAATTCTTCGTGTCAAGGACGTTGACGAGTTCCCCTTGGTTTTAGTCGGAAATAAGTGCGATTTAGAAGACGAAAGGAGTGTAGGCAGAGAGCAAGGTCAAAACCGGGCCAATGAATGGAAGTGTCAGTTCATGGAGACGAGTGCTAAAGCCAAACTCAACGTAAACGAGGTTAGTGTTCAGGTGTTTGCTGTTTGATTTCTTTTCTATTTCCACTTGAAAAATGCATCGTTTCAACGTTGTAACTTGAAGTCTCTGTGGTTAGTTCTTGCTATCTTAACAATGGCAAAATATGCCAAACCTTTCATACATGCACAGCTGTCATTCAATGAGATGTTAAATGAATTGTTACATTAAGCACAGTGTTATTGGTAAGATGACATGAGGCGTTGTGTGTAGTGGCCAGGAGTGTGTCTACTGGACCCCTTGTGTTTGCTGTTGCCTAGTGACAAGTTATTGTAAGGTCCTGTTGTATTATATACGGAAAGGTCAAGTTTGGTAATTAAAGCCCACTAATTAAATGGCTCAACATATTTCTGAATGGCTCAGAAGTGTGCACTCATTGCTAGAAAAATACCATAAGCCCTCATCATGTTTCATCCAACTATTTTTCCCGTACATAACCTACTATAGTTGCATTTGTTACCTTGCTTTTGCAATATGAATTCATTGTTTCTTGCAAATTTTCACGTTGGTAGTTTGGTTCCGTTTCTTCTGGCAATAAACCTTGCAACTATTTTTGGTTTCCAGACATTCCAAAATATAATAACCTAATCGTGCTGGGTAATTTTAGTGTTGAGGTTATTAGTCGCACATAGGTTTAATTATGGGATATTTGGGTTTGTTTTCGTAATGTTAGATAACTTAAATAATGTAAAATAAATATCGTGACATTCTAAATTTTGGTCTCACTTCTTGTTTCTGCATTTCTCGGTAAATAGTGCTACCAGTAACATAGAATTTTTAGTCCGTGGCTATGTCTTTGTATCAGTTCTGTTGTCTAAGTTTGAAGTATGTGAATAACTGCCTATTTCCATTCATTGTGGGGTTTATTAAGTCGGTGCAAGCTCACTACTTGAACTAAACTACTGATGGGAAAAGTCTGTCGTAATTTTTGCAGTTTTTCAGAGTTCTTTTTCCACCAGTGACGTGGCTTGCATAAGTGATGCGAACGAGCTAATCATTTTTTCTACATTACTTTGCTGACCATGGTCCAAGGGAAAAGTAGGAGTGAAATGTACTCATGTTCGGAGTTTACAGTCAGAGCAAAAATCACCTGTGTTGTGTTATATGATCTGATGACTTCATGGTATAGCGTACCACTATATGGCTACAAGTGGTAAGTTTTATGTTAAAAAACATTTTTCAGACCACTTCCAGTGAAACTATTACAGAAGTAACTGTCTTAGTTATTACTCTTACTGAAAAAGGTTAATAAGTCTAGTCATAGGTGCCTTTCATGCTTCAGATTTATATACGTGACTCAGTTGAGGCCACTGCCTGTACACACTGCTCATCCAACGGTGACTAGGATTGGACTCGTGTCTAAGGAAACAAAGCTCTTTGGGTGCGGAAATATATTCTGAGGCTTAGAATACCAAATGTGATATAGTTTTACTATCCTACGTTGCTGTGTGTTAGGAATTCTCACTAGCAGTCTAGTCTGGTTAGTGATTGTTTCCATATACAATTCGATCATGAAATGCATCTTTAAAAAACACGTGTCAGTCGTCATGGTGATTTCGATCGTAGCGTTAGATGAAAGACCAATTTTTCCATATTCCTTTTAAGTGTCATAAGTTTCTCGTATGCTGAAGACCGTTCTGTTTATCTTAAAAGTATATGAAATTGTCTGTAATTTTAATTTTCAGATATTTCACAATCTTGTTCGGCAAATCAATGAAAAAACGCCCGATCCTGCTTCGAAATCATCAAAAAAGTCTAAGTGCTGTTGCCTCTGAAATGCTGACTTATCTAGTTTCAGGTGTTCTCCGTTCACGCTTTTATGTTTACGTGCCAGTCATCACACTGTCACGTTTATTTGCATGATCTTACGGTCAACGCCGCATGATCACTTATCTTCAATAATGCATATCTGCCGGATGTCCTCTGATTTTATCCAGTATTTACAATCATAATATTTGACTTGCTGGTCTAATTTTTCATTTAATATTTAACCTTATTACTCTCTTCATTTATTTTAACATAATGCTTCATAAATTTGCATGAAAAATATTTTAATTTTCTCATTATATGAAAAACTTTGACCAGGATTTATAACTTGTTTTTAGAGCCACCAGGTGCCATTTGCAGTTTGTTTAACTTCATTTCAATATTTATGATCTCCATCATGTAATTTTTACTTTTCGGTGACAAACTTTTGTGTACTGTGATTTCGCCTTATTTCAGCACTGCATCTTTTTTCTCATATTTCACTGGTGCAATGTAACCTTGAAGGAATGTAAACTAGGGCCGTGTATAGTTTATTTTTAACAATAAGCTTATATTACTGTCATTTATTTTAATTTGCTTGTGCGCTTATACTTTGTAATATCATGTGTATTAATGGTTAACTTGTGGTTTCTTCTGTGTTTACATTACATGAACAAAGATGCGGCTATTAAGGTTAGTCAGAACTCGGAACCTGAATCTAGGACTGTGCTTTTACCGATGAACCACATATGCGTCATTGAAGTAGGCTAAGTATATATATATATATATATATATATATATATATATATATATATATATATATATATATATATATATATATAGGTAACTATCGCAAGTGACTTTTCGGCCATTAGGAGTGACAAACTTCCAGAGATAATGGCGATTCTCTATGTTGCATAGTCAATTAATTAAAGCAGTCCTATTTTGGTTATTCGGATTGGCTAGAATACAGCACCATTTAAATAGCATTCTGAAATATGCTCTTTGATTTGCTGCAATTATGATATCACTGTCTTAGGCATATGCACTAAAAAACCAGTAAGAGCAGCATTCACCAAATAAGGTGAATTGATACTCCCTCGTTCGTTTCTCAACCGCATATTACCCGAATTACCGCTCTCTGTTTAAGGAAGTAGGTAGCTTACTTAGTGTAACGGGTTTTTAGTTTATATTTCGAAGATATCAAAATGTAATCAAATCAAGAGAGTCTTTATTTTTGGGTAGTGGTAGGCTTTCAAGTGAACCACATAAGGTCAGATGGCAGTGGAAGTTGTACAGCATTTATCTTAACGATTCACGCAGACAGATTAAGTGGAAAAAGTTAGTATAAGATAAATGCTAAGTAAAATGAAGGTGAGTAAGAATCAGCAGGAAATGAATAGGTTTTAAAAAGGGGTGATGAAGAGTATTGGTAGAAATACCAACAGTAACCGGGGAGTATTGACTGCCCCGTTTTGAATCTCAACTTCCGGTGAGGTTTTGTTGTGCCCATGAAGTCTTCTTTCTGTTAGCTGTTGTGAAGAGTTTTGTTGCTTCTATGTAACTAATTACTGCATTGTCGAAATATTTATAGACTGTACAGGAATTACGGAGAAGTTAATCATCGTTTGTTTGTACTTCTGTTTGTGCATATGAATAGGGACTAAGGTTCTACAGAAAAGTTTTGCTTCGTATAAAGAAAGACTGACTGCGGAAGCCCTGGGTGAATCCCAACAGTTTGAACAGACGTGAATGTTTGATGTTAGCTGATGCATGGCGAATCCTGATTAATAAACTAAAAATGGATAATCATACTTGGTCAAAATCCCTATTGCCTATATCTTCTTATGGATAGGCGGACAAATGTTTTACAACTTTATCCATACACACCATTGTATGCTGCATATGCACATTTGTTTTCATTTTCAGTTATCTACGATCATGAACTTCTTGTCGAATGTATTCTGATAAAAAGTACACTCTGTTTAAAGTATTTAATTCAATTTTAGATTTCCTCGTCAATTGATTGGACCGAAGTGATCGGTCTCAGGTTGATATGTCGGCTTGTTGTGCAGATGCTTCGATGATGTCTGGTCATGTAACTTGAGACTGGAAGTACCACTGCTCACTGGGGAATGCAGGCACATCTTGTTGACGAGTCTCAAATAGGACAAGATACAGATTGCAGTTTTTCTCTGTGACATCACTTTCAGAACGTAATCTGGAATATTTCCTCCGACGGTACTATACTCTCTGTTCTTGTTCTGCCTCTGAAATGTTTTTATGAACCGTTACAGTTGTGTCTTTTTGCCTCGATATTCATTCCTGTAAATTTCTGCTTTAAGTTTTTCTTCAGGGCATAGCTTGTGCATCCTTAGATTTAATCTCACTTGTAGGTAGTCGAACAAATATGGAGATGTTTGTCTTGTAATGAGTATTCTTTTTCTTTGTGGTGTCTTTTTTACATTTGACATACAGATCGATACTTTCCTATCCGTCCCTCATCCTAGTATTTCATTGTAAAGGAGAGTAAAGCCCAGTGAACAGCTCAAACTAAATTCATGAAAACAGAAGTGCTATGTGATACTATGAATTCATCCAAGGCATTCAACACTTTTACTCGTCTAGCGAAATTAAAGAGGTCCTTAAAAACCTATTTGTTAACTTTCGTGAATTTATTTTAGCTTCTGCTCAGGAGAGTGTGAGTGCTAAAGGCGTAGACAGCTAAGTAGAAAAACATTAGATCATGCTGACACATCAAATGCAAATATATTTCACTGTCCATAAGCTAATAATGAGCAAGAATTGATCCTGGTTTCATTCTAGATTTGTATGTCGGTTAGATTGCTTTTCAACATTTCCTTAATATCTTTTAGTAGTTACCTTCCCCATTATGCTTCCCTTATCAGCTTCGTGTTCTACTATTTCGAATTGTGAACAGTCATCCAACATTAAATTCATTTTCAAGTTTGATATCAATTAGATAGCCATTTAAAACCTGGGAATACTGGACAACTGTTTCGTCCTAGTTTGGGGCTCATCAGCAACACTCACTCACTGGGTTTCGAACCCAGGACCTTCCGGTTACTTGTCAAGCTCGTATACCATTCAGCCACTGGAATCAAACTCGATGGTCAGCCCATGAAACTTCTACCAATTCATGATTTTAGCGGGACTGGGACCAGGCAATGTCATGGTTGGCGAGTATTTGTGCTCACTCGAGATCCAGTGAACTCCACTGGTCACGACTCCTGACTAGAACTCCAGGCAACATCGTCCTGCAGCTATTCACTAGTTGGCATCAAATTTATTTATTTTGTTGATACCGTGTTCTTCATTTTCAGTTAAGCAAAAACCTTTGTTAACTCAAACATATTCCAACTGTTTGTCGCTCAACGCCAACTGACATTCTCCAGGTGGGATCTATGGATGTGGGAAAAGACACATGGAAGTGGTGGGTGATATCAACTTTTCTCTCATATCTCAGACACAAGTTTATAGATCAGTGACTTAATTGTGAAAACCCAAAAATTATAGTCCTGTATCCATTCTTTCGAGGTTTCCTACCTAACATTACCAATAAACACTAATTAATAATCCAATTTATAGGTCATAACACTTCTGTGTACATCGTTTTAAATTAGAAGTAATAAATTCAAAAAGTTTTCAATGCAAACATTAAGTTTCCTCTTTTTCAGTCAACATGAAGTTGGGGCTAAATATCCATGAGTATTTGATATCTCATCTATCTGTCTATCTACCTTGTAGGTATTCAGTCATATGTACAATTTGTTTCCAATGTATTACTTAATATCTGTAACCTATCAGTTTAAAAGTTGATTTAGAAGAAATGCAATTCAGTTTGGTGGGTTCGGTTTTCGAAAAGTATGATATATAAACCCTTTAATATTTTGAATAAACTCATTTTTAACTGGCAGGTGAACTTCATGAGGTGAGGGAACTTCTGATTCAGAGATAACTACTCCTATAAATACATCATTTCAAGGTACGTGCGAATGAATCAGTTTTATCAATAACCTTCTGAAAGGTTATATTGAAGATAATCAACAATATTAATAATGTTGTCATGCTTCTACAGGTTTATATCAATTCAGGTACTAAATGTTGATGGGAACCTAAGCTACTGGTGCTATGTAATCACCTTGTTTGATAATTAGATACTAGCAGTGTGGTGAGAGCTAGCTGTTAGTCAAAATTGGTGGACAGTAATTTACGTCAATGTTTATGTCCCCAATATTGTTCGTGAGAAAAATTAGAACAAAGGCTCTGCGTAGGCGGATACAGTTAACATATAGATGATCTGACATTCAAGAAACAGCCACAAAGAGATGAAAGATTAACTTTCTGTGAGAAAAAAACAATCAGAGCACTGTGTTTTTCTGCTAACAATAATCTATAATATGTACATGGAAATCTATTAATATGTGTTGATTTCTTTAATAAATGATCTGTTGCATGGCCCTTGTCTTCTGTTGTTACAGCAGCCTCTCTCGGCAAGAAGCCTTGTGTTTTTTTATATGTATTCATTGAAAACTACCTCAGCGTTGAGTAGCCTTAATTTGAATCTTAAAGCGGATATTGTATATTCTTCAAACGTGTTTAACAACTAATTATTGTAAATCATCATATAACATTTAACATGTCATAGAAGCTGTTGAGGCTGGATTCCTGTTCATCACTAACAATACTTATATTAAGTAATTCTATTCGGTCTAGTATCTTTTTCGGCTGAAATATTGCACATATTTTCTTTTTTTTTTAATGAAGCTGGATAGTGCCCTATTGCTTTTGTTGCCTCATTTGTGTTCACAACAACCAGTAATATAATCTCTTTCTATAGGGTTTAACTTTTCAATGTTATAAAATACTGAGGAATTAAAATATATCTGTATTTTACTCCATTGTTATAGGATTTATAAGCGATATCCAAAAGTTCATATTGCACACCTAATGACGATTATGTAAGATTGTTAGAAGAAACCAGTAGGGTGCAGCGGGTCGGGTGTGA